AAAGTTCCAAGCAAGTATATTAAAATGTTTGAAGATCTTCAAGATTTTATGGACCCTTCCAGAAATATGTCCAAGTATAGGAATTTAGTAAATTCGGAGCACGTGCAGCCGCCAGTGGTAAGTCTACCTCTATTTGTATTTGTTTGCTTGTTTTTCTTACAAGTCATATTTGAATCACAGCTTTAATTGACAAAGACATATGCAAATACTAATTTATGTTTTTTTTTCAACAGATTCCTTTCTTTCCTGTGGTTAAAAAAGATCTCACTTTTATCCATCTTGGGAATGATTCTATTGTTGATGGTTTGATAAATTTTGAAAAACTCAGAATGATTGCTAAAGAAGTTAGAACGATATGTCGAATGGGAGCATCGTATTTCGTAAGTACCAGCAGGGTTTTCACTACAACATAAAAAAATACTGTAAAAAATCAATACATTATTTAGGGGGGCATGAACCTATATAAACAAAATACATTAGGAACGAGTTTGGGGTAAAAGTTCAGCCCAAAATAGAACAATGCATTGCAGTAAAAGGTGTTAGAGAAATTAACACAGTTGGACCTATCAATTACAGTTAGCATTCGTGTGTACTGGTGGTGACAACAAGGGAACAATGCCTTTTTTTTCTCTTTAACTCTCTGACCCCCAAATTTGTTTTCAGGAACTATCCACAAAAAATTCTTTTTCGCAGTAAATGTTGATGAAATATACAACCTTTTTGATCAAAAACTTAAAGTCGATGTCACATTTTATTGGTTCCAAAATTAAGATTGAATTAAGTGAAAATAGCAGAAATTGTGAACAATTTTACACCATTTTGAGTCGGGGGGGGGGGAATTGTGCTCAAATGATGATTAATTCTCATTAACAGCTGCCCATATAAGGAGCGCTATTATTTGGATGGCATTGTTAATCACTTTGGCAGCTCAACCCTTAACACCTTTCCTGTGAAAACAATTGTTGAATTTAAAGCCACATGCCTAGCTGCATAAAAAACCTTATAACACAGTGTGCACTCTTTTATTTTTCACTAAAATTTTAACTCAAAATTTAGATGCACCCTATTGAAAGAAGATGGTGAAGTTAAGGTAGAAGCCTACTCATGATTTCAAATACCCAGAATTTTTTATTTATTTTTAAAATAAATTGTACTTCCGGGCAACATAAGGATATTGACTTAAACAATTTTGAGATTCACCAGGTTAATTTTCGAGAAAATCATGGTTGTATTTTAGTGGATAGTGGCCGTTTTGGCAGTATTATAGTGCTTTTACCATAGGTTCCTATGGCAGAGATATTATGCCATATCTCAAATTATAGGCTGGTGACATACACTGAAAAAATATTATATTGTTATTGATGGGGTACTTTTTGTTTTCCTGAATTTTTTCAAAAATATGGGTTTTAAAAAGTGTCGAAAAATGCAATTTTTGAATGCAAAAAGGTGCAACATATGGAATTGTTCTAAAAATAACTATTTTTGAAAAATATTAGGACAAGTTTCTCAAATAACGTCACTGTAACACGCAAGAGAATGCTATTTCATGACAATAATTACATGATTTTACATAAACCAATGAACATTTTCATGCGATTTATGACCAACTTTGTCAGAAATAATGAGTAGGCTTCTACCTTAATGATAAAAGTGTTAATCCTATGAGCCCCATAATTTTTGTCAGTAAAATTTTGGTACAACATTTTACCTGTTTTCCCACAGGTTTATTTTTTTTGGTAGTTTTGGACAAAATGGATGTAATATCCTGTTGTCTACAAGTCTTAATTAAAATTTGTAAAAAAATGTAGGTTTTAAAATTTTTGAATGATGACTAAAGTTAACTTGGTGCTCAAAGAGTTATTGTGACAAAGTTATTGATATGATGGATGTCTTGAAATTGTTTTCACTATTGACACTATTTCTGCTGATAGTTCCATTTGTAATGAAAAGTTTGCTGTCGCGATTATTGTGATCTACTTAGTATTGTGATATGAATGCCAAATTTTCTGCTCAAATTTGGATAAATTTGCTGACATTTTAGATAATTTTAACTAAATTCAATTTTAATTTTGAACCAAACATACAAAATGTGACATTGCTTCTAATTTTTGACAAAAAAATTCAAAATTTTCACAACATTTTATGTGAAAAAGAGCAGAATATTAATGAATCTATTTTGTGGATGGTGACAGAAGTTGACTTTGGTGATCAAAATGTTAAAGATAGTTTAATGTTGCCATGGTTATAGATTGATTTGTATCACTGTACTGACACTGAAAAATTAGTTTCTGGTCAATTAATGAAAAATAAAATCCAATAAAAATAAATATGCCATACCAAACATATAACATACCAGAATAAAATACTCCACTGTAATGTGTACTACTGTATGACAAGTAAAATTGTTCCAGGGAGGTTGATTTCTCAGGTTTTTGCTGTGTTATTGAAAACTTCTTTGTTGTCTCTGAAGTCACATTCCAAATTCTGCAGAGGTACAACAATTCACACTATCATTCCTTAAATTTATCAGCTGATTACCCTTTATGATCAGTTGAACATGTTGTCAGTAACATTCATTGACACCCCTCAAGGTAGAATCCCACCACCTGTTGTATCTATTGTCTTTCTTATTTAACTGCATCTCTCATTGTGGTGGAACTGTTAATAGCTATTAACACTCCAAGTTGATGTCATGTGATGTATCATGTGATGTATCATGTGACATGTCTTGCATACCTTATATAAGTCACTCAACTTTAGACAAGATTCTTTTCTGGTATACGCTACCCTTGATAGTACATGTTGTCAGCATAAAACAAACCATTGTGGCACCATGTCGGTTCGATGTGCTTTTTGGCTGCCGGTTTGTACAGTACTTGTTATTTCTTACTCTTTCAATCTTTCTGTCATCTGAAAAAATGTTTGTCATTCTCTCATAGTCAACATTCATGTCAAAATTTAGTATACATGAGAGTTAGGTGTATAGTTAGGTTTATGGATGTTAATGAGTATGAATAGGTTTAGATAGATATGGTTTGGGGTAGGTAAGTACCGGTAGGTGGGGAGATAGGTAGCTGGGATTGGTCAGACATGATAGTTATGGGTATCAATGAATGTGAATGGGCTTAGGTGGATATGGTGTGGGATAGGTAGGAAAGTAAGGATGTATGGATGGGGATTGCACTATCAGGATAGTTAAATGTGGGTTGGTATAGATGAACATTAGTGAAGATAGAAATTGGATGGGGCTGGATAGTTGAGTCTGGGATAAATTAGCATGGGTAGGAATAGATAGGAACAAGTGGGGATGGATGGAAATAATGCAGGAGATAGAGGTGTATAACCTAATTTCAAGTTATTGAATATTATAACTATATTTTTTCTTTGTTTTATTATTCTTTCAGGATCCAAAAAATATGTTTGATCACACGTCAACTATTGGTGGACCCAGTGTTGCGTTTGCTGTGCTAGGAGCTGTAGCTGGACCTACAGTGGCTGCACAGCGGAGAAAAACATATGGAAGAAGGAATTCTACGCTGCCTAACCCCAAGAAAATATGGGAAGAGGTTAGTATGTTTTTTTATGCATTTTTCTATATATTTTTTTTGTTAATATAAGACCAACGAAACAAAATTTTCTATTTTCAGTTTTTAAAATTTTTTAAAAAAATAAAAAAAAATTGATGCAAAAGTTGATATAATCAAATATATACTTTTATGTACAGAACATTGAGTCTTGATGTAATTCTGAATCCCTGCTTTACTTTGTAATCTGTTTACTTAGCGACTGTGGTATGTTTTTATTGTAGTCACAAATGGCAAGGAAAGTTAAAGAGCACATCAAAAATGCAAAGATACTGAGAGATGAGAAAGAGCTTATACAGTTATCGATGAACTGTGAGGGCACTCTTTTAACAGGTGAGGTAGTCTGTTTTTATACTGTAAAATACTTTATTTTAGCTTGAATTAATTTTCACTGAAAAGACTATTTGGGTATTTTGTTATGTATGGAATTTATTTTCACTGATTTTTGACAAGTTTAATGTAAAATATAGAAAAAAGGTATATTCACTGGATTTTATTTTCACTGAATCATTCCTTAAGCAAAAATAGTGAAAATTAATTCCAAGCGAAAATAAAGTATTCTACAGTACATTCTATTAATAGCTCCACAAAAATACATTTATTGTTCATATTACGCACTGCATTATTATTGCTTATACTTATACCTTGTGTGTGTAGCGGTTTTATCCTGTAACCATAGTAACAGGTCTATATAAGTGAGAATTAGGGATGTGATAGAACAGGTAAATAATACTTCCTATCACATGTTATAACAATATGAAGAAAATGTTTTTGTTCTTATGATGCTGTTCGAATTGTGTTTATTTTATTTTCCACTTTTTCTTCCCTTTACTTTATACAGATAAACAGCCATCAAATACATCAACGCTTTCTCTGAACACTGCCCCTAGTCCTGCTATGAGAAGGAACACGCTGCCAAATTTGACAGAGAGTACAGTAGCAATAACCCAAACCAAGACAACTACGTCAGTGGCATCAACTCAAGCGCAAGCAAAAAGGATGACTTTTCCAGATGAACCCAAAACAAAATTTGGTAAGAATAATGGCAAAATTTATAATAATATCACATCGTCCACTTTTGTTTTATTTTATTTCATATGTTGTTTTAATGTTTAATGGGTATGTCATTTTTATTGGTATTAGGATCCTGTAACACCTTATGCACATCCAAAATAGCAAATAAAGAGAAGGGCTCCCCAATCTTGTTTCCATGGTAACAGCAGTATTGTGATTCCCCACTAGAGTTCTGCTCCATACTTGTGGTCATTATCGAATTAAAATTTTAAAATCATTCATAATCTCAAGGAAATTATGTTAGATGCATCTATTCTTGATTTGATGCTGTCTTGTCTTCAACTTCTTAGGTGCCAAATCACCTACCACACTCAGGAAGCTGCTAGCCTTGTCCGAGGAAGGTGAGAAAAGACTTAAAAAGCAAGGGAAATTGAACATATTCAGGCCAACAAAGAGTGCAAATACTTCACCAACGTCCTCACCGACGAATTCACCTCCGGAGGTTAGGAGGCAGCAGCTTCGAAGGCCGCCAAGTTTACAGCGTTCGCACACAGATACTAGCGAAAGTGGTGTCGGAAGTGCAAGTAGTAGTATTGGTAGCTCAGATGCACATACAACAGATAGGGTCAGGGGTCACATTCCAGGGGGTGAGTCATCTTTATGCTCTTTTAGGTTTGTCTAACTACTAATATGTCCAATATAACCACCAGACTGTCTCACCCAAATTTTTCTGCACGTATTTCTTGTGAACTTGTAACTTGTGTTTTGAGTTTTATATGTCCATGCATCTATCAGTCCAATTTTTTCAGTGTAAATTCATGGCGATAAGATTAAATGACCAACACTAAATTATTGATGTAATTAAACAACTACTTTTTCTTTTATTTCTGAAAGGAAAAAAAATCTAAAAAAAATTGTTGAAACAATAATGCTATGTGCATATCATATGACTTGACTTGCAACCATGTTTTGTTTCAGGTTCAACAAGGTCATCTTATACCAGCTCCTATGATACGACAAGTTTAGATTCAGCGCATAGTGCCGCAAGTTACGACAGTCGCAGTGTTTCATCAGTCGGGTCATCCTCACCACCAGTCCGTGAAACGAGGCGTCAGCTTATCAGAGGTAACCAGTCATGAATAAGTGGCTATGTTGTTTGATCAAAATAAATACATTAATTTTGTTATAAATAGTTTAGCATTCCAAAAACAGTAAAATAGCAGCTGACCTTGCACCTGTCAACTATAACAATTGTTTTTATACATGTAATACTTTAAAAGCATTTATTTTCACTATTTTGAGCATATTCACTGTGTTTTAATTTCACAAATTTGTCAATGAAACAACGAGTTTCATCGTCATTGATTTAATGGAGCGAAATACTTATCAGTGAAAATAGTGAAATTAATATTAATTAATGCATTTACAGTAACGAGTGTCTTCCCAACAACAATCTTACATATGTATATATATCAATTTTTATTTAAAGAAGATTTATTGATTTATATTTATTCATGTTAATTATTTTTTTATACATATTTTCAGATAAGTATGATCTTGCACAATTTTATTGAAATGTTGGTGCCTGCATACTTTTATCCCTTATATTCGCCTTTGTAGGTATAAGCTGTCTCTGTATATAGTTGACTGCAAACGAGTTATGAATATTTTATTAATTATATCTACCAATATAATATGAATAGAAGGACTGAAGCAAAATATCTTTCTTTTGTAAATTGCATTTTACCTTTTGTTTTGAGTCATTTTCTCGTATTCATAATTCTCACCCTTTCAGTTTGGTTTTAAAAAAAAAAACTTACCAAAGAAGGAATTTGGCAAGATTATTGTGACTGTATGTTAGAATGAGAGTGAAAGAGAGGATATTATCACCACCACCTTGTCCACTGTGCAATGTTTGTGCACACAATTTCTGGAAGTCTGTACTTTTTCATACAAAATTGTGTCACACATTCTTACCCACCTCCTTGCCCTGTGAGGGCAGTATCCACAAACACTATTCCACCCTTGCTCTGCGAGGGCAGTACCTATACACAATCACCTCCTTGCCCTGAGAGGGCAGCATCTTCACTTCCAGTTAATGCACTTTTTTCCCCTCAATTTTGTTTTGTTGTTTAATTTTGCTTTCTGATTTTGTTCTCACAGCTCGTCATTTGTCACCCCCTCCTGTTATGAACTGTAGACCAGTATCCAGTCATTCATCAAGACCGCCATATTACCATGGCAATAAACTGCCCCTACCAACACCCTTTGGAAGTCTCCCTCCTCCCCCAGACTATCGAACAGCGACGGCCAACTTAGGTAGGTCCAAAAGTTGATGGTATCTTATGCTGGCCATGCCTGTGCACTGACTTGCTTGATGCTTTTTGTAGTTGATGCTAGCATGCTGCCTTGTAAATCAGCATTGTTTTGTCTGCTTGTATGCACGTGTAATTGTTCCACACTGTTATTTGTATCAATTAGCAATGGTGGTGGTGAAAGGTTAAAGGTGGTGGGATATTTAAGATAATTGCATGAAATTATTCTGGTATTTCACTTTTATTTTTTTCACTCACATCGTGTGGTTCCTTCTCTTCATGGCAGCAAACAGTCCATACAAATCGCAACAACCGCACCAGCAGCAGCTACTATCCACCTCCCAACCTCAAGAGAGACGCCTGTCAAACCCACCCGACTATCATGTTGCTACGGCGACACGTACACGTAAGAATATCATGCATTATGTAGGTGCGTTTGTTGTGATCGGGTTCGACTAACCCACATGTCATGTGTAGTATGCTCACCATTGAGGGCTCCCTTCTTTTAATCATGTCATATCTCTCCTGGCCTTATTAAGGATAATTAAATAACTATCAAAACTGAAATGCAAATTTAATTTTGGGGATTTAGTAATGTTATCTTTCAGCCTGCTGGGAGAGATGTAACAATCAATATTTTAACAAAAAAAGGGAAAACAAAGATAACCAGTTTAAGGCTGTCTTATCACAGCAGTCGTTATATTACTATTGAAATGATTGGATAAGACTGTCTTAAACTATATGCTACTGCCATCATCATTATTGCTTTCTGTGTGTTTTTATAAACTTGGTTTTCGCTCTGTAAATTGCAGTAGATTATCGCTAAATGACTATTATATTGTATAAAAAGATTGTATACTGTGTCTCCTGATATGATAGTTATCACACGATTGATCTGTTCCCATAGTAACTGTATCAACTAAAGTATCATAGTAACGCAAATATGTAACTCTATATGCCCTAATGTGCATTGAATTTATACTTTGATACAGTAAAGTCCAGACATGATTTTTCCAGTATTGATCCATGAAAACATTTTCTTTAATACCATGGCCGCACATTTATAGACATGTTCTGTATGATTGTCCTTGCACCCAAACTGACTTTTCTGGTACTTTTGGAATCTCATTTTTCTGTCACAGTTTCATTCAAGTGTTAACCTTAAAATTGGACACCTTTAGGAAATAAAGTCAAATCCATCATTCTTAAACATACCATATTTTCTCCATTTATAGCCTGTTTGCTTATGTCACAGAGGTGACTGTAGTAAAAAAAATTGCTTTAATGATCCAGTATTCAATAAGAGCTTATGTGTGTTTCTATTAAAGATGCGCTTCTAACTGGCCAAGTATAGTATTGAAGATATTGAACACATTTAATTTTTATATTTGCAAGTCAAACTACTTAAAGTTAAATTCATTCAACTTGTACTATCTCTGTAATATAAGTCAATTAAAAATATTACATATTCTCATGAATAATTATAAATATGAATAATAAACTTTTTCTGCAACCAGGCAATCCTTTAGAGAACTTAATAAATTAGAATGATTTAAAAAAAGCTGAGATAACTTGTATATCTTGTTTTTTAATTCTATATATTTTTCTCAAATAATAGCACCAAACTCGTTATTTAAAACCACTGCAATGCCCATAACTGCACACTAACATCTAAAACTGTGTAACGTTTCAGTGTGTGCACACTAATATTAATAATTAGGTATTTAATTTCTTGTGACTACATATTTCAAGGACCATAAAGATTAACAAAGTTGTTTTTTATAACAGGGACAGCTCCACTAGAAAACAGTGAGGAGCTTGAAGATTACTATGATGAAGGTAAATATGACCATCAAGTCTGCAAAGTGGGCCTAGCAACCAATATTTGTTACAAAGTTACTATCAAAACTAATTACTGTAATTAAAACTAATTACTGTACTTTTATTCATTTATTTCAATTATATTTTTGGCAGATGGAGAGCAAGTATCTGTTGTTTAGCAACCGACCTGATGTACAACTTGTAAATATGAAGCGTATTTTAATCTGTGATGACTGTATATGAATTGTAATTGGTTGGATCACATCACATGACCAACACCTCCATTTCCTGTTGGATCCAGACCTTGCATGATTGATGTGTGATTCGTCTTGGTAGTTACCTGTACCATTGGAATAAATCTTGCCACCACATGTGATTTTAAACTATTGGATGTCATTGTCAGCTGATCACCATGTGACCTTGTATATTAATGTGTAAAATGTTTTCTCCAGTGATGCAAAACTCTGTACATAGAGTTCTCTTTAAAGTCTACTTTCCACAGAACTTTTATTGTCTGTCTTTCTGCGTGTATAAAGGACGTTATTGGAAAGATGGATTGAATGGTTTATGCAATTGTTGTTTTCTCCATATTTGTATCATGTTTATGCATTGCAATACTGTGAATAGGAAGACACTGCCCATTCCAGATTAACCCTGGGCACTTCATATTAGTTCTGGTCTGACAATTGTGCAGTATTTAACACTAGGTGCAAATATTGATAAATTCATTTTTACTGTAAAATATTATTATAACCTCTTTTTGAAGAAATCAATCTTTGCTTTTTCTTCTTGACAACATCCTAAATTTGTTTGTCTAGTACTGCTTGCCTGTCATATTATAATCTGATTAACTTCCTGCAGACCAGTGAGGGCACCATACTATTCTTAATTAAAGTTGTCAACTAACAGACATTGCCTCAAAGCCATCAGTGAAGCGCTATTGGCAGTATTCAGGCATTCTGTGAAAAGCTATTCTGATTGGCTGGCAGTAGTTACTGTACTGTTCTTGTGAATCCTCTTAATGAGCGATGAGGGACAGACAATTTCTTTGTTACATTTTAAATCGTGCTATACATACGTACTGGTATTTACAGCGTCTTGATTAGTTTGGAAATAATGCTACTCTGTACTGTTTCACCCTCCTTTATACGTCTTCCCCACCTGTACATTAATGGAACTACCCCAAAGTGCAAATTGTGTTTTTCTTGGAACAATTCTACCCACAATGCATTAGAAATTTATGCATCTTGTGACCTTAATTTTGGACAAAGGTCATATACCATTAAAAGTACTTTAAACTTATTTAGACTGTTATTGTCCGTTTTGGTCACAACATTTTTAATTTAAAGATTTGTAATCTTATTCAAGTCACACATGGCATCTGTAATCAACTTAAAGTAAGCTGTCACATTTTTTATCAAAATCACTTTTATAAGTGTTTCAATGAACTTTTAAACTTAATCCTATCACCATGTAGACATTTTGTTTTGTAAGTTAAACATGCTCGATCTAACTGCCATTTGAGAAATTAATCCTGGAATCAATAAAATGTTTTAGTGAATGACCTGAATTATCTTGACACAAATTTTGTCATTTTATCCCAGTTCTTCTGAATTCCTTCTTCCAATTTTTTGTCACAAGGAGGTATTTAATTATGTTAAAATCAGTTTTTGTGCATTATTATTTTTGGACAGAATATTGTAATATATATTTTTAGTGAATATTCCAATGTGAATGCAGGTTTAATACTGAAAATGTCTTTTTCCCCCAATTACGTGTTCGATACACAACATCCTGTAAATATATATCTATACTGTGTCCGCATGCTGCATAGACATGGAAATAAACTTGGAAATCCAAATTTAGTCTGTCTCTTATTCTGTTAATTTGTGGGCACTGTCAGTATTTTGGTAGTCACATCGGTTTAGAAAACTATGTCATATCATTTTTGTGGGGCCTACTTGCATGTACTAGTAGAGATAATGATAGACGAGATTGGGGTCTAAAATGAAAAATGTGAATAACTGAAAGCATTGTATTAAAGAGGAAATCAAGGCAAACAACTCAATAGTCCCAGATGAAAGAACTTCACAATTGTAGGAAAATGTCATTTATAGGTTTATAATATCACATTTCATTCTCTAGATATTCAACTTTTCATCAGTATTATCAGAGGTACATTACTTGGGGTTTGCAACTACGGTGACATGATACCAAGATCCCGTTACAATCTCGCTCTCGCATAAGCGGTCCAACTCAGAAAAATGCGAATGCGCATGCCCGAGGTAACTGGGATGTCCAGGTGGATCAAAATAGCTGCCCACGATATGACGGATTACGAGAACTATATTTTCTGTACATTTTCAATGTATTACATTTTTCACTACGATAGTGGCAAGAAAAGTTTTATTTTTTCATTACAAACCTTGAACATTGATATATGTCATGTCAGAAGGTCGTAGCCTCAGTCTCGCTATCTACGAGATGAGACTTCAATGGGATCTTGACATGTCACCATACAGTACTATGCGAGTTGCAAACCCCAAGTAATGTTCCTCTGGTAGCAAACAATTATGGGTAAAGTGACATCATATCCACTGTTGTGAAAAAATGCTTTCATCTATAACCTGCGAAATGTTCTTTTGTTTCTTACAACAGCGAATAATGTCGTACTTTACCCATAATCCTTTTCTGAAGAATCAAGATGGTGGACTACATAAACTGATAAAAAGTTTAATATCTAGAGAAGGGAAAGTGATATAAAAAACCTATAAATTGCATGTTCTTACATTTGCCAAGCTCTTTCATCTGGAAATATTATGTTAGCCTTGTCATGATTGTTGTATGTATGCTTGATAATTTGGATTATTTTATCGAAACATTGTCAAACTTGGTTATATTATTTATCAGTATAAAATCATACCTAAATGTTTAATGTCTTGTGTGAAAATAACTTTCAGTTGTGGTCAAATCCATAGGTTTTTTAGCCAGACGTATAGTCTTACCACATTTATAAGCATACCAGGTAATTGTAATATCTCAAGAACTGTTGCAGATATGGACATACAACCAATAATGATGACGACAAGATATATTACCAAAATATTTATACAGGTAACCAGGATTACTGCTTGCAGCTAAATTTCATTAAAGGGGAGCAGAGGTGTGGCGTTTGACACTCTGTACATGAAATTTGAGATCTATGAATGAATTCTGTCGATAAAAACAACTTGTATGTGCTGCGAAATGCCCTAAATATCGGGTATAAAACGGGCTGTGAAGCAGACGACAAACTTCCGCTCTTCCTGGCGTCATTTCGTCTCTAGAGGGCCAGTCAGATGATGTCATCAGTGAACACTGATAATTGAACCCATTCATGCTTGTACGTCAATCCCATAGAAATGCTACTATGAAAGACCTTGTTAACTGACTACTTAAAAGTTGAAACATGGCGAAATGTTGTGCGTATGAATGCCATAACGATTCATGTTATGTTTCTCGAAATTCCAGAAAAAAAATCACGTTGTTGGTTGCGAGAAATCGGCAGAAGAACTAACCTGAAAATGAAGACACGTACAGCGCTCTAGCTATAGTAAACAGGCTTTTTGGGCATTTTGCCTAGAATTTATTTTCACTGATTTTTGATAAGTTTAGTGTGAAATATAGGAAAAGAAGTATATTTGCTGGATTTTATTTTCACGGAATCATTCCTTCAGCGAAAATAGCAAAAATAAATTCCAAGCGAAAACAAAGTATTCTACAGTATCAAGTTAATATCTCTCAAAATAATTACAAACAACAAAGCACAGACAAATACAGTGAATAGAGTCACTAAAATAGGGGATTGCTTAGGGAAGTGTGCATTGGTGATAACTCACAGTTGCAGGATGTGAAAATTGATGACAGTCAATGGCTTCTGCAACACAACAACTAAGACGTGATGGAGTCCTTCTTGCAGAGGAACGCTGTTATTCTGGAGGGCACCGCTGATAGCGAGAGGTCGCAGAGCAGTTCATACAAGTCTCACAGAATGATGGTTGAAGCCTGTATCACTTGTCTCACAATATCGCAGCAGTAGTCAATTGAAATAAAGGCCCCAAACTGTCTTCAGTCTAGCTAATTTATAGACATAAATGGCCTAGATTCAGGGACACCATCTGGGTTTTCACACGAGCCAATCAGAATGTGGTCTTGCTAGCAGCTATCTCACATAGGCAAGTCAGTAGATCGTAAACACAAGCACACCTGGTAGATTAAAATTGTCCTTCCAGAGTGGTAAACAAGTGTGACCTGTCAATCACCTTTATGACAGTTATCACATGGCAATGTACAGTTTTTTTCCCATGCTTCCATGCACACTTCTATTTGCAGGGTTTGAGGTAATATGAAAAAAGCATAGAATATAGAATGCCGACACAAGTAAATTACAGAGATGAGTCTGAGATCTAAATAGAACATTTCAAAATGTGATTCTTGTATAGTAAATATGGGTGTTCTTATTTTGTAAAATTACAATGTCACAGTGTTTACCTACCACATTGATAAACATAACTGTAATATCTCAAGAACTGTTGCAGATAGGGACATGCAACCAATGATGATGTCCGACAAGAAATGTTTACTAGACATGCTATATTTGTCATGTATTGAATGCACACTCAGAAATGAATAAACCGAAACAAGTCTTAGTTGTGTTCATGATAAACTGGTCAGAACAATAAAACATAGAAATATCATTTTCACTATGTTGTCATTTAAAACTGATCAAATATAAATTGTGTATGCATATTTCAGGCACGTTACTATGAAAATTCCAAATCTATGTATTGTAATCATTCAACGTCAATAATCTGTTTTTACACATTGTATGGCTTTATTGATTTTCCCGGTCCCTTATATAGTCACATGTCAGTTTTGAAGTGCGACAGGGTTACTGAGGCTAAATGTTGCTATGAAAATTCCAAATCTACGTCTTGAAATAGCCAAGTCAGATAGTAGTGGAATGGCGTCTAACCATCTTTGCCACTGAGTCGCTATATCTGTAGGAATGGTTTCATCCCAGTCTATTTTGAGACGACATAACTCTTGGAATAATGCTTTCGCATTAAGTACAAATGGGCCTGCAAGGCCCAAGGGGTCGTAGATGGAACTGGTTATACTTAGTACACCTCTCTTTGTCAATGGTTTGTCAGCTGGCCTAGCGTCGAATGTAAAGCAGTCCTTTTCTGCGTTCCACAAAACACCTAGTGTACGATCATAGGGTAGATCATCTTTGTCAAGATTCAGCTCGTGTAATGACTTTGCCCATTCAGTGGTTGGTATAGATTTCATTACCTCCTTGGAGTTGCTAAGCCACTTTGTCAACTTGAAACCTCCACGAGCCAATAATTCCCTAAGCTCAGCTGCAAGCTTGATGGCAAAGCTCTCGGTAGGCACCGACTTAAGGCAATGATCCACATAGAAATTGTGCTTAACTGTCATAATTGTAAGCTCACTGAAGTCATTTTGATTGTCTTCTGCTACCCATTGTAATTTGCAGCGCTGAGGCTCCATACTCCACCGAAAAGATGTGTGGTCATATGATAGTGTTTAGGTGATTTGTCAGGATCGTTAACTGGCACTTTGACCTGATTAAACATGCCTTCAATGTCAGCATTAATGGCAATAGGACCTTGGCGAAATCTAAGCAACACCCCAATAAGTTTGTTAGTGAGGTCTGGGCCCTGATTGATGCAGTCATTTAATGAGGTGCCCTGGCAAGTAGCAGAACAATCATTAACAATACGAACTTTATTTGGTTTGCGGGGATGCAATACTGGGTGATGCGAGAGATACAACACATATCCATCTTGTCGGTAGTGGTCAGTGACTTACTCCGCGTAGCCATGACATAGTGTCTCTTGAATACTTTGAACATATTTCTGTTTCAAATCAGGATTTTTCACTAAGCGTTTTCCCAACAGGTCTAAACGGTGCTTTGTCACAGTGTAATTGTTTGGTAGACATGGTGGATGCTCTTTGAATGGAATGGGTAGAGTGTAATGGTCTCCATCTTTAATTGAATGTTCATTCCATAACTTAATCACTTGTTTATCAGTAACTGACAGTAGGTTGTCGTTGATACATGCTGGATCATCCAGCTTCCAGAACTTCTCGACTGCAAGACGTAGAGTGTGGTCAGAATGGACATAGTTTGCTGAAATCATTGTGAGCCCATCGGCTATGACTAGACCAGTCAAAGTAGCATAAGGTTCACCTGAGTTCCCACGGCATATCTCACGAGGGGCAAGTATATCTGGTTGGTCAAGTCCAATTAGCAAGTGAACCTCATCAGATAAGTCAATGTCTGGCACGCAGATTTCATGAGTAATGTGTTGCAGATGAGGCCATCTGGCCACCTCCTCTGATGAAACTAAGTTATCAAGGCTAATGTTCAGTCGTTCACGACACAGTACTCCATTGATAAGGTATCCTCAACTCGCAAGTTCACCGATAGGGTGTCAATGTTGAGATTCTTAGACTCCAGTGTGCTTAGCTTAAAGTTCACGTTGTGTGTTTTGAGCCTTAGGGCTGATATCAAACCTTTGGAGCAGAACGTACCATTGGAGCCGCTGTCCAACAGAGCGAAAACATGCATTGACAACTGGTTGTCTGGGTTTGAGACTACAACTGGAATGATGGGTAACGCGATCTTGCTTTGTCGAGGGTCAATTGACTTTCGAGTAGAATTGGCATGAATCACTTGTGGTTGATCATTAGTAGCTGGTGCACTCACAGTTGCTTGTTTATGTAGTAGGGTAGTTTGTTGATTGTTATTGCGATCATTGTTCTTTGCTGCTAAAGCAGAGTGAAGCCAACTTTTGTG